ATATGAGTGACCCCCAACCAGGCCTGTCCAGCTGTACCTACTCACACCAGGATGCCAAACTTACATTTCCAACCGTCGGTGTAGCCCCTGCTACCTAAACACTTCAGTGCCTCAAGCCTAATGATTAAAAACAAAAATTTCCCTTCCCATCGAACTTGTTCACACTTTTTTTGTCTCAGAGAACAGCATCACTAACCACTCAGCTACCCATACTAACAGGCACCTTTGGCCCTATTTCTCTCTTGCCAATGGCATTTTCACATCTTTCCATCCCTTTTCATTTCTAAACCCTAGTGTCCTAGGTTCATTTTTCATTGGCTTTTGCTCAATAGACAGACATTCTCACTTATTTACATGCTTCCCTTGCTCTAATTCATTTCTGCACATTGTCACTAGAGTGATCTACCCCTTCCAATTGCCAGAGTTTTTCAAGACTTCATTTTACTGGCAATGTTCTTCTTGATCGTACTCTACCCTGACAGCATTCTGCTTGGATATAAATTTCGTTTAATGGATAGATGATTTTTTGGTATGTTTACAGACTCCCATATTCTCTACAATAACTATGTGCCTTCTAGTGCTGTCTGCTCTGTGGATCAGAAGTTGGGAACTATTTTCTTAATATATCAACCTGACCTCTTTTCCAACAACATATTTTTACATTATTCTTCAGTTCCTACTATAATGATTTTCATATTGGGATGTTTATTCAGCCAGTTAGGAAGTCTTTAAAAGTACAGACTCCTGAACTCTATTTTGAACTTCCTTAATCTAAAACTCCTGGAATGATAGATTTGAAGCTCCCAGGTGGTCCTCATATAGCTATTGAGATTCAGAGAACCAAGAGTATACACAAAACACTGCTTTTCAGCACTCCAGTTCCCTTGAAACAAAAATTCTTTAAATCCAGGCTTACAAGAAATATTTTTCACTGGGCTCCAGTCACTCCACTCTTTGAGACCAGAGAAATGAGGAGAGTCAATGTAGCACCTAATTCTCACATGATGAGTGGCACACTCCAAAGGCATGTCTGAGGTCCAACTCCAGTGATGAACTATATCTCTGCCATTCAGAGTTGTGTTGTAAGTCACCTAAAAACAAGCCCAAATAAAATTATATTTCCAAACGGTATGTTCTGCTTTCTTTTAGGGTCAGAAAACCACAAAGACCATATCACCAAGTAATCATCAGTAAGTAAATGGTGTGTCCTTTTGTAAAACTATCTTGGTTTTTTATAAGGTATACCAGGAAAGTAAAGAGTAACAATCACTATACAACTATGCTCACTTCTTTTTTTTTTAAAATGTTCACTTTTAAATGGCAAGCCTTACTGCATTATCATCCAGAACACTGATATTCATCAAAATGGCTAATACAGCACTTAAGAAAAGATATACTGCTACCTAAAGGATCTCTTTTTGTGGAGGAAAAATAGTTAATGAGTTTGTATCTCTAAAGTCAAGGAGCGGGCAGCATTTCAACAAAATAAACTGTTTTAGTGTAATCTCGTTACCAACTACATAACAATTTTAATATATGCATTCTTTTTTAAAATTTTATCTTACAAGAAATTATTTTTCAACAGTTTAATTTAAATGCAACTTATAGTAGTATAGGATATTAATCTCACCTATGAGAAATGGACAAGATTTCAATTTTGAAGACTACTAAAAGGTATCTTGGGAGTTTCAATTAAAAAGACAATGATATCAAAGAAATGTATTTCCTTCTGTCTTACTCTGAGATCCTTTTAAAACAAGAGTAAACAGATTTTTTTGAAAGGCAAAGAAACTCAAGTACCAAAAAAACCAAGACATGCAGCAACACCACTAAAATTTTAGAAGGTGGAAAGCAGATGGATAGTAGCAACTGACTTAAAAGTCCTAAGAAAGTTGAATCTTACAACAGCTTTCCAGTGGGAAAGCCAAGAAACCACTTAGTTCCTATCATGGAAGCTCCAGAGGGCCCACAGAGGGGCTGCAGCATGTTTCCCTGGAAATACTGGACGAGGGTGGGCTCAAAGCAGGATGGCTTAAAATTTGTCTGAAGAAACATGAGCAGCTCATATTGGAAGCAGAAGAGACACCTGTGTTCTGGGAAAGTTAAACAGAGCTCTTCTGGATTGAAGAATCTTAGGAGTTGCAAATGGGGGATACTACACCAAAACAGGGACTGCTAACATAGGCCTTCTTTCTCTCCTCAGCTCTTACAACACTAGTAGTCAGATTCATATTCAGCAAATGTATGTTTAGGGCATACGAACAGGGTAAGATATAATTACCTAAAATAAAATCAGAAGTTTGCTAAGTAGATAGCCTATCCTAATTATCCAACAACGAAGTCCCCAGTCAGCAAGTCCCCTTCAACCAAACCCAGGTTCCAATCAGATTTTAAGAGCCTCACATTTAGAGATAAGCAGCAATCAAAGTGACCAAATTTATAGAAAGCATCCTAATATAAAAGTAAAAAAGCCAAAATAAAGAGAAAACATAACTTGAAGAAAAATGGTGTGTAGAAAGAAAAACAAATAAATCACTGATACCTTCAGACTTAAGAAAAGATAGTCCACTCATGAAACAAAAACAGGATTCACTTAAAAAAGAAAAGAGATTCTTTTTAAAAGTTATTTCCTACAAATGAAAACTATATTAACAGAAATTTAATAGCAGAACTGCATGATAAAGTTTACGGAAAGTTTCTCAAGAATTAAAGCAAAAGAAGCCAGAAAACAGGAAAGACACAATGATGAGAGGACCAGCCTGGAAGGTCCAACTTATGAAGAACAAAAGTTCAAAGTAAAAAAGGAAAAAAAGGAAATGAAAGAAATAAAAAAAAAGTTCCTAAGCTGACACATCAGTCTAAAAGGGGCCTAGAGTGAAGATAAACCAGCACAAGAAGAAACAATGGAACAACGCTTTCAAAATCTTGATAATTTTCCAACCTATAATTCTATAACTAGTTAAACTAGAAATCACACGAGTATAGAATAAAGGTATTTTCAGAAATGCCATGTCTGAATGTTTTCATCTGGTGGAATCTTGCACTCCCAATAGTAATGTATGTATATTCTAATTGTTCTGCATCTTCTCAATAACAGCAGTTGATAGGCTTTTTACTTTTTGAACAATAAATCATATCTGTGAGCTAGCTATTATAGACAGCAGAGTGAATAATCTATAATAACAAACAGCTATGAGAATATACACTTCCACCAAAATGAAGAAATAATATAATAGTATATGATATTAATCTATTAGAAGATTTAGGAAAAGGATCCATCACAAGAAAAAGCCATAAGGAATACCTCAGATGTTGATGGAGTCCCTTGCACCATTATCTTCCTAATAAATGAGCCGAACAACACCTCAGTCTATCTTGAGTGGGTTACAGGTACATCTAAACCCTAATCAGAGCAAGCATAAGGCTGCTTATAGGAGCTGAGGCTAAGGCTGGAATGCATGGGACACCTCTGACCACCAGCTGCTGCAGCTACTTCACACTGTCTGTTACGCTTATATCATCAGTGTCTCAGGAGCCCTTGTGCAAGAAAGGCTGGGAAGCCAGCCAGAGGTCCTCAAAGACATTTAAGAACAAAGATAAAATGACAAAATATGTAATATATTTAAAAATTTCAAGGAGATTTATATAACCTGGAGAAAATTTAGGGATGAATTAAGCAGAGAAACTTTTAAAAAGAGATAATAGAAGTTTCATGAAAGACAAAGTTGAGTAGCATTTATATAACCATAATACAACAAATAAAGTTTTATCAAAAACTGTATCAGAACTATGTTAGAAGAAGTCAGGAAATGGGGAAAGGGGGTGGGTGAAGAGCTCTTTACAAGAGAAAGAGAGAGACTGCAAATGTGAGTGAGTTGGGTGAGGGAGAGAGAACTAAGTTCTCATCTTTCATTGCGTAAGTCAATTAAAACATTGCTCTTAACTACAAAACAAATAGGAACATAAGAAAAGTATTTGCAAAAACAGAAACAAATAATGGAAAACATCAGCTAGAAGAATTGAAACAGTTTGTTTCCAGGGAAAGACAAATGGAGTGCGTGGGGGGCCAGTGACAGACAGCTCTGGGGACCCCTGGTCCTGCCTGTAGGGTACAGCTTTAACAGTTGTGAGCTGTCAAATACCTTCAATGCAACATTAGTGACCAGAATCCTTGATTTTTTATTTATTTATTTATTTTTTTTGGTACCGGGGATCAAACTCAGGACCTTGCGCTTATGCGGCAGGTGGCCAGAATCCTTGATTTTTAAGCTATTACAAAATGACAGTTTTTATTTTGTGGCAGATTATGATGCTACTACTATTTTGCAGTAGCAATTCTGATTTAGATAATGACACTAATAACTTATTACAAATAAAAATGTCACATTTTTTACAGTTTGACCTGGAGCATTTTCCCTCTTTTAATATATACTTTTTCCTTTTTTTTTTTGGCTCTTGCTATATTTTTGTCACTCAAAGATATTTCTTCCCCATATAGTAAATTATAATCTTATAATTACCAACTTGGTATGTATCTTGTAGCAGTAAGTTATGTGGTTTTTGACTAACATATCCTTTTATTTATTTTTATTTAATTCACACTTGAAAAAGTATCTCCTTTATTTTAGTATCCAGATACCTGTCAAGCTTTTCATAACTATTACTCATTACCTCTAAGGATAAAACTAAATACAGAGCATAAAAAATTATTCATAAACAGGATCAAATGAATAAAAGCATGTTCTAAACCTAAGAACATATTTTAGATTCTGATAAATTGAAGCTTACTGACTTCTCAGGCATTAGAACAGATAATGACGCATTTACTTTGCAGTAGGAAATCTGATAATTATCATGGCTCAATATGTTTTAAAACATTTATTCTTATGTATAATATGGGACAAAGACAAAAAATAGACTAAAAATCCATTTTCAATTTGTTTATGTAAAGAGATGCATATTAAAAGGCTAGAGAGGAGTACACAAAGATAACATTTACTGTGTTCAAGTGACAGAAAATGTATGCCCCTCCTTAATTTCTTAAACTCCTTCTAATGGTGACACATGTGATTTCTGAATCACAGCATACAGTTTTTAATGAACCCTGAAAGACACTTTATCTACTTTCTTAATAATCAAAAAATTCATTGATACCATCCTAAAAATGATTTCTAATACTGTTCAGTTTCAGTATTGCCATAAAAAATATAAATATTTTTATTCAAACTTACTAATTCTACGAGCTCCATACTATCTTTACGTAGAATTTTGATTTCCCAGATGACATTTGAGTGATGAGGAAAAACAGAACCCTTGTCATTCCACTTTAGGTGTAATGTAGAGGTTGAGAAATCAGCAGACAAATTCAAGATCTCTGGAGTGTCTGGAATTAAGGCTTAAAAAAATGAAACAAAAGAGAAAGTTTAGTAAAATAAGTAATCATGCTTCATACTGTACTTCCATTATCAACTATTTTAAAACTACATCTTGATCAATCAAGAATTCATATCAAATTCTCAAACCTGTTACTAAAACCCTGTTACTATATA